GGATTTATATTAAACAGTTCTCTTCCGCACCTTTTTTCGAACATTTTCGTTGTCTTCTAGATTGGAACGCAAAGGGCGTACCATTTGCTGGCTCGGCATAAGATGCCTTAAACACCTAGCGTTGCGCATGACATGCATACTGGTTGACAGATATCAACTATTTCACCGTGTGCTATAAGAAGACATTTTCTTCATTAATAAGCCTCATTCACCAGTGCTGGGGCTTTCTAGTATACGAGGCGTGATATGGGAAAATTTCTGGCCTTTCTTGAATTTCGCATCTGACTTCTGACCCAAGGGCACTCGTGGCAATGTGGCGTAGTGATTAACGTTCCGAGATTATACACTATTGTCACGGTTCGAGCCCCGCTGGGGGTGTTGATAAGACTTAGGCGAGTTCGAAACTGTCTATCCTGGATGAGAATATTTTTTGGGAAGCATGGCTGTGGAATTAACTGGAAATGTGAGGCATACTCAAATAAATGAGGCAAAATTCAACGACCAATCTTTCATCTCATACGAAATAGGATACATATTTCTCATATATACGGGACAATAGTTTCATGGACTGCTGATACTCTTCATAGAATCCAGGCTTTGATTTAATTTACACTTAGTATGATGGATTAAGATTTTGAATTAGTAATAAGCCCCAAATTCTTATTTGCCAGTCGTGCCAAAGGCCAAATTATATGTTATTACCACATAAATAATCAATGTCCACTAAAACTGTCTTAGCTTTGCTAATTACCTCCATGCTTATCGGCTTGTAGTATAAAACTTTATCGTAGATTTATTAATATCATATAAATGCTTTCTCGCCCTCTGCAACTAGGGACTTTTGATTTATTTAGCTGCTATCAAGGTATGCATAATTGTCACTTATTCTGCTACCTTTTCAGAACCAGCTGCTGGTCAAACGAATGATATCGATCTTGATTCTTCTGCTTTCCTGCCGATATCTCGCTCCCGAACTTCCAGAGGAAGAGGCCTCGGCCGGCGTGGCGTGGTCAGTGGTCTCCAGCACAATGGAACTCGTGGTTGTGGTTTGCCTTTTTTGGCCTCGGGACCCGGTAGTAGTGGTTCCCCCACTAATCCGTCTCCGGCTGTCTTGGGGCCTGGATCTGAGTCTCAATTATTGGCCGGAGAACTAGCCAGCATTGGCGCAGAAATCGTTCTTGGATCTGGTGGTGAACAGCTTCGTTCGCTGCGCTCATTCTTCTCGCCTCGTCGCGGCAGCACCGGTCGGCCTCGTGGTCGGCCCAAGGGCTCAAAAAACAAGAAGACACTTCTGGGCATGCTTGGGACTGTGGGACAGACCGTGCTTCCCGAGAATTCCGGCATGCGTATAAGTCTCAGTGGTGTTGCGTCGCCATATCTGCAGGGTAGTGTAAGCTCGCTTCGAGTAGAGGCAGCTCCATTATCAGGCCAAGAGGATTTGGTGGTGGGGTAAATAACTGGCACACTTTAAGTTGTGCATCACTATTAAATTATTTTGTTGGATATTCTGCTCGTGGTTAATCAAAGAAAAGGCTTTTTTCACTGAACTACACGGTGCCATGTATCCCAAAGGGCTTTTATCACCCTGTTTTGACTGCAATTTAAAACTTGCCCAGCATCCCTAAAGGGATTATAACCGTTGATTTAGGGGTTGAATCAAAAACTCTAACCTCTAACTCCTATTTAGCTACACGACATATATTTTAATAGAAAGCAAACTTCTCATTTCACCTCTCTTTGGAAGTTTTTTATTGATTCAAAACCGATTGCTTGCTAGTAAGTGTGGTGGTTTACTAATTTTGTAGTTTTATATAGCT